GAAATCCAGGGTTCTGTTTATATCGAGGGACAGCTTGTTACTTGTCTATGTCTCTCGTTGAGTAGCGTACTCATGAGGCAAGATACAGAAGTGCATGAGAGAAAGAGAGAGAGAGCGCGCAAAAGGAAGAAGCAAGCAATAGCACCAGCAGTAGCAGGAGCAGCAAATAGTATAGAAAGAAAGAAGTGAATGGCAAAGAAGAGAAGCGAACAAGCAATCGATCTTGTGTGTGTGTGTGTGTGTGTGTGTGTGCATGTGTGCGCTAGTACAGCAACGAGAAATAAAATACCATGGTGTTATCAAAACAGTAGAGACCCTGTCGCTTGAGTAAAAAAAAGACGCGAGAATGACGATGTTCTTTATGTTGACATTGTCATCACTATTGATTTTTTTTTTCGTATAATGTCTATTCTTCAAACGTTCTATTGTTCATCAATCCGTGACTTGATTATTATCGTTATTTTTTTTCTTATAAAACCAAATAACGCACAATATATTATTACTATTTTTGCTATTGACAATATAATACTGTGGTAGGTTATTTGAGTTTCTTTATTTTGCACGTAAATCTCTACTGAATGTATTGTTGTTATAATTATTAATCAATTTTATATAAAGAAAATATAGACGTAGAAAATAAGTGGATTCTAAAGTCATATATTAAGTTTCATCGTATAGAGTAAATCTTTGTCGTATCAAATTCTTAATATAATGTCTAAGATTGACTATAGTCAGTAGTTATATCTTATCTAGTTTACACATATTGTTGTAAATAACCTTATCATATTATTGAGGTTAGCATATGTGCATTGTCTTCAGGTGTTTTCATATAGGTTTTATTTTTCATCTACTTTTCTTTCTTCATGTTTTTTTTTTCTTTGACAATGCGAACAGATAAGATATAATTCTTAAATTATTCGTCTGGAAATTAAAACAAATACTTGTTTATATTTATGTCCATATGTTTGTCTTTTATTTTATATGTAAATATAGTTTTGTTAGAATTCAATTTTTTTTCTTAATTTTTGTTTTTAAAATAATCTTTAGATTAATCTATACAATAGAATAATAGCTTATATCTTTCTTTTTTTAAATTTTTTATTAAAAGCTTAAGAAATTAAATAATATAAATATAATCTATTTCGTGATGAGATCAGTTGATAATGATTATTTTAGTGATTTATTCAATCATTCATAATTATAAAAAGAAAATACATCGATGATTATAACATCAGATCTATACTTGTTGACTATATTCGTGTTTATATATACATGATAGTTTTTCGCATGTACATATTTAATATTTTCGCATGTTAATGCGTAAGAATACTTGTATGTGTAAGAAGGATGTTTTATTTCTAGATATAAAATTTGAACTTAGATAATTTCGTTCATATGAGAAGGTTCTTCGTTAAATCAACTATTTATTCTCATTAAGTTGAACACTATTGAATATAATTATTGTTCGATAATTTTTTTGACATGTATATTATATATGAATGTTAATAACTAATAGAAAATTTTTGAAAAAATGAACAAGTTTTTATATGATAAGTATTGCATGTTTGTAGGAGAATAAATCCATTTTAACAAGAAATCAATAAGGATATGTTGAAGAAAAAAAAATAAAATCTTAATTCTTATATGAGCTAATATTTAGTAGTATTCATAGATATAAGTGTTGTTTTTCTCATGTACATATAGAATTTATCGAAATTCTACTCATCGTATAAGAACATGCGGATGACATTTCAACATATGGAAGTTATGTACTTTTCATACACATAGAAGTGTAGTAGTAGAGCATGGCAAATAAACATAACGATAAGACTCGTACATGATCTCGCATATTTTCATGTACAATTTAAAAATACTTTCAAATGATTTACATACTTGTATAGAATGTGTTAAGATAAGTTGATAAATATTTTGTAAGCAAACACATATTTTAAAAATTTTCCGCAAGTACGAGCGATGACGACAGATTGAATTCAGTCCATCCAAGAAAGTTATATACGTAATCAATACTGTACCGAGGTAGGCAAGATAGAACTGGAAAAAATCTATGTTTTCTTTCGCTAAAGTTAAATTTTGTTTCTTTTTCTTTTTGCTTTGGTCTAGTTCTATAAAATTCTTTCGTTTCTAACCTATTCGATGGAAAATCATCAGACTTTCTAATCCTTCATAAGTTCAAATAAAACATTCGAAATGTAAGTTTGCGTATTTGATATTATTTTTTTTCAATATTATTTTTCCGGAGGTAAAAAACATCATAGCAGACGTTAGAGAAATGATTGAGTCGTCTATGATTTTGCAACTTCTATTTTTGGTAAATAGGAATTTAGAGTCCATCCCACATTTTTATTATGAAAACCTCTTAATTCCACTCTTGAGAAAAGAACCAGCTAGTCACTTTAAATAATAACAGCACTTCACATTTCTGTTGAAGTTCAACAGAAATTTCCCAATACTTCCTTGGAAGGAAGGAACAAAAAAAATGTTTTTTTTTTTTTGTTGTCTATCGGTGATAAACCATTTGGATGTGCTTCTAGTAAGCACATACATTTGACTAAATAGGTAAGATGTTTTAAACTTTGAATGAAGTATCCTATCATCAATATTATTAAAGTTCGAAGTTAGAAATATTTTTGCTTATTAAATTGTGTATTGCGGATTTACACAGTACTTCTAACGCTTAAAAATATTAAGACCTTGTTCGAAGTTCTTCAATGCACATTGAATTAAAACACTAGAATACGCCAAAAAATTCAAGTTTCATTAGGCTCGATATTTTCTTTTGATTGTACTCGTCAATAGTTACGAAAAAAAAGTCGTTTTGTTTTTCAATATAATAGTAAAAACATCATAAAAATGGATATGTATTCAGAGCTTTTGTTTCAAATGAAACTAATATTATTTAGACAAAACTACAGATTAGATTATTCTTAAAAAAATAGTGACGAGGTGAAAGGACTGAGCTTTGACGAAAACTTGTTTCGAGAGTATGAAGAATACTATTTGATGCAGTACGAATCGATTTTATGGTGTTTTTCTGTCATATCGAAAAAAATCGATTTTTTTTTCTCTCTTAATTATTGACGAGTAAAACTAAAAGAAAATGTCAATCCTAATGAAATTTGATGCTTTTGTCATATTCCAGTTATATAAACTTTTCTGATTTTTTTTAAGACTAATTTTTGCTACCAAAAGAAATTATTTGAATATGTCAAAAATAACATCTTCAGAAGTAGAATAGTAGATGCATCAATTTCTAGAATATGATGTCAAAGATGACATTTTCATGTAGTTCTTGTAGATTGTTTATGTCAAACATAACTGCTCTATCTGAAACAGTAGTCAAAATTGATGAAATACGAAACAAAGATTTCAGAATTGGTTGAAAATTCGTATTTCTTAGTTTTTTTTCGACTAATTAGAATTGATTTTGAGACTTGTGTTTTACATTAGACAAAATCTAAGAATAGCTTTGGAAAGAACATTCAAAACTAATTACAAGAATCGCTAGTAGTCCGTTAATTCTCAATATTGGACATGCGTTTTTATAATCAGACATAAACCAATTTCTTAAATTTCTAATCGAAGTTTAGAATATTTCCAGACTTAAGAATTACTAAACTCATAGAGATTCTTGTAATCAGTTTTAAACGCTCTTTCCAAAACTATTCCTAAGATTTTATCTAATACAAAACATCATTCTCAAAATTAAGTTGGAATTAGTCGAAAAAAAAGCAAAATTAAAAGCATTCTAAGAATTGATGCATCCCTATCCACAAATAATTCAACAAGCAATCATGACAAAAAAAAAACGCTGAAAAAACATTTTGCTTAAATTTCTATCTGCCGATAGTTTACAATAACACATATTATAGTATTTTGTGACTATAATCATTTGAGAATCAATTATTGAAATTAGAACATTTGTATTTCCGTAGTATCTTCTACGTAATTTTTTTACTGTTGACATACTCTGAAATTATTTTTTTACTTGAATTTATTTCAGGAATTATTTTTAAACGACGAATAAAAAGAGCAAGAAAGAAAAAAATATTGTTGAGCATCAAATTAGTCTATAGAACAAGGATAACTTGAGCACGTTGTATTCTTAATATAAAGGTGGTTTGACAGAAAGAAATTGATAATCATAAAATGTAAGGTTTCTATTTTAAATATAATTTCGTATTCATATTTTGTTCAATGACATATTTTTGTTTTTTAGTTATTTTAACAATACTCCATTGAGAAAGATTTTTCTCGATTTGAAAAAACATTAAAATCTATCAATATAGTCAATGTTTTAAGTTTTAGAAGTTTTATAATTGAGTAAAAAAAAAAAACTTCGAGTTCAACACATTGAATTCACATAGATATTTAGTCATTGGAAATGAAATTAGAGTAAAGGTCAATATCTTTTAATTGATAGTACTTAATAATTTAATTCCTTTTTGTTAATAAATACAGCACAATTAAATATTAATTTATTAGAAAGAAATATGGTTTTTTCTTTTATTCTTTATCTCTTAATCTAGCATAGTTATATCTTTTATATTACATTTATAGAATTAAAAATAAGCTACTACTAGAATTTCATTGTATAACATAAACTACATGTTTAACATAGTTTTTTTCTAACCAAAAAAAACAGCACTATTCTATTAAGAAATAAATAATTAAATCATTTAACAGAAATCTTTCTAATCATAAAAGTAATATAATTATATAGAATACGTTCGATTTCTTGTTTTTCCTCAAGTAAAATTTGTCGATCATCGAGCATGATGAAGCATAGCATTTGACTGACCAAAAAATGCCTACAGTCAATAAAAACTAAGCATAAGAATCATCATCATTATCAAAAATGCACTCAACATTTTCTAGATTGTTTATCATACTCAAATATTTTTTTTTTTCTTAAGAGCAATGAATAGTTTATATTTAATCCATACGATATTTATTAACAATTAATTTACACAGAAATCAATATGCGAAGTAACAAAAACAAACTAGATGATTTAATTAATGTTCAATTAAGGTAAAATAAATGAACCATTTTTTTCTAACTCCTTTCTTTCTAATTAAAAATAGAAAACAAAAAAAAAAACCAAAAGTTCGTTATGCATATATATATATATATATCTACATCAGATCAATATTTTCTATCATCATCTGTTTATTTTTCTTTTGACATTTGTGTATATGCACATGCCTTTTTTTTGTTCTTTTTTGCTTCTATTGTTGATGATACCCAAATATACTAAACATTGTGATGCACAATGTAATGAGAAAAAAGAAAAAAAAAAGAGTCTTTTTCCCAAATTTTCCTATTTCGTTAATGTTACTTAATGATTATAGTGCAATTGAAAAGAACCATGTAGTTGTAATGTACTCATAAAAGGAAATGTTTTATGAAGGTGACGACAGGGGTGTGTAATCAAATGATATACATACGTACATACATGGATCAGACTCCTAATCATTGAAGAGTTTATTTGAAAACGTATAAAAGTGAATGATGGCTTATCAACAGCTGGATAGTTGTATTAGTGACATTGATGATTATCAAAAGTAGGTTTCATATCATAGATATATACATATGGGTGATTATCATTTATCATTATTATTATTATGATTATTATTATTATTATTCATAGATGTCTTTAGAATGCATGATATCGAACAATCTAGTAACTATACGTGGAATATATTTATTATATCAACGAGATAGTACAGAAGTAAAAGATGAAGAATTAAGTATACTGTTAGAAAAATATCGTTTTCTCGGTTCTATTCTTTTCTTTTTTGTCTCGACGCTTATATATTTTCAGCTGGTCATGAATATGTACTTTGACATGATGAATAATCAATCGATTACTTGTCTCATAGATGATGTAAGATTGATTCATAAATTGTTGTTCTCTTAAAAGCTCGAGCTATTATTCACGTAAACAGAACAATTCATTTATTAATAAAACCTTTGAAGAACATAAGACATATCTATTTATCTTGATCAATGTAAAACAAAAACTATTTTTCTCTCTTATTCTAGATTGATTATGAGTTTGCCGAAACCTTCGAAAGACAAAGAACCTCCAGCAGCAAGTTCTTCAAGTCAAGTCACATTTGTAAGGCTATATATATTTATATATTCATAGACTTTTTTTTTTATATTCGACAAAATATTCATTATCATTAGGCTGGCATTAAATCTGTGAGCAAAAAAGAATTGCGTGGTGGTCGCATCCGAGCCGAAGTGGTATGTATCTTAAACATAGAAATAAAGTTCTCTTGTAGTACTCGTAGTATTAATAATAATGAATAAGAGCCCATCAACAACTCAAATGTCATGAGCACAACTTTATTATTTATTTGCATAAGATTTTTTGTTTTTTTTTTTACTTTATTACCGTGTCGATAGAAAAAGGAAAAAATATGTAATCACAATCGAGTGTCTTTTTTTTTTCTTCCACTTCCGATTTTTTCCGTTGAATATATTGTACGCATTGCAAAACCTGTACTAGCTATATGCAAATTTGCCTATAGAAATGTTTTGAACGAGAAATATATTCGGGCACAACAAAAGATTAACAGTAATAGAACAAAATCTATGACGCACATATATTTTTCTATCTGTCATCGCTACATCTCAATAGAAAAAAACAGAAGAGAAAATAGCAAAGAGGAGAGAATGGTTTTTCTTGTTTTCTGCATCGTTTTTTCTGAACGATACAAGTAGACATTTTTTTCCTATATGTCTCGCTCTCTCTGGTACCCTCCTCCTTCTTCTCCGTTATGTGCTATTACTTGAGTTGTCTGCTTTCTTATTCTTTCTAACTATCCATCCATTTACATATCTATTTGTCGACAAAATAGACAGAGATAGAGGGCAAGAAACGCGAACGAACAAAACTTTGTTGTTTATGTTACTAGAATTGATGTATTGAGTAGTTATCGACTGTTAAGCATTTAGTGAGATCACTTGTTAGCAAGATATACGTCTATATATATTGATCATTTTTAATGAACTAATTCTTAATATTCAAAAAAAAAAAAGAAAACTTATAATAATAATAATAATAATAATGTTACGGGATATTCATCCATTCAAATCATTGACATCTCGTATAGCTGCAAACGCTAAACAAACCGTAAGTTGATCTTTTATATATATATTTATCTAAGACTTCAGATATAAAAGAAAAGGTCATAGTACAATATGATAATATATTAAGATTTGTTGATAATTAATTAAAAATAAATAAATAAATATTATTTCTTTCATGTCTTATCATAGGATATTAATCGAGAAATACAAAATTGTCGTGATGAACAAAGTGAACGATTTGATTTAAGTAAAAGTAGTGTTACAATTCTACCTAATACAATCAAAGATGTAAGAATTTTTTTTTTCTTCTAAATTAAATATTTGAAAAAACAAGAAAAATCAATGTTTTCTTTTATATATATAAAATTAGTTGATTCATGTTCGAGAACTATATTTATATAGTAATCGTATACAACAATTACCACCTGAAATTGGTAATTTAGTTAATTTAAAAGTCTTAGCATTAAGTGAAAATTCATTAACAACATTACCTGATACAATGGATCGTCTTGTACAATTAAAAGTACTTGATTTACGACATAATAAATTTAATGATGTAAGAAAATTTTATTTATTTATTTAAAAATTTCTTTTTCTTTGTGTTTTAGATTCCTGATGTTATTTACCGTATAACAAGTTTAACAACACTTTATTTACGTTTTAATAGAATTAAAGAAGTATCAGATATGATAAAAAATTTAGTTGTAAGTGTCTTTTTTTATTTGAAGAAAAAAAAAATACAATAATTCAAATTTTGATTTATTAGAATTTACAAATGTTAAGTTTAAGAGAAAATCGTATACGTTCATTACCTATTACTGTTGGAAATCTTGTACAACTTTTAACACTTGATGTTGCACATAATCATCTTGAACATTTACCAAATGAAATAGGTTTGATAGGAAATTTTTGATTTATTTCATTAGACAAAAAAGATAATAATAATTTGATTTTTATTAGGAAATTGTGCTCAGTTAACAACATTAGATTTAACTCATAATGAATTGATTGATTTACCTGAATTAATAGGCAATCTTAAAAATCTTAGTCGACTATTGATCAGATATAATCGTCTTTCGGCCATTCCATCTTCATTAGCAAATTGTTTAAAACTTGATGAATTTAATATTGAAGGAAATAATGTTTCACAATTACCGGTAAATTTATTCAATTTCAAAACGATTTCCTTTTTTCTTTTTTTGATTGTTCATCTATTATTTATTTTCTTTTTTTTGTAATAGGAAGGACTTTTATCAAGTTTAATTCATTTAAATACAATATCATTAGCAAGAAATAATTTTAATTCATTTCCGTTAGGTGGTCCAACACAATTTACATCTGCACATTCAATTAATATGGAATGTAATACAATTGATAAAATTCCATTTTCAATATTTTCTTTAGCAAAATATCTATCAAAATTAAATATGAGAGAAAACTCATTAACGTCATTACCGTTAGGTATGATATATTAGCAAATTCTTTACTTATAAAAAAAAGAATAACAAAAAAGATAAAAGTAGTCTAATTATAGATTGTTAAATACTCTTTATAATAATGAGGTATATGAACTTTTTACTCATGAATTGATGACTAACAGAGCAGAAAATATCTTGCCGCATTTCTTTTCTTAGATAAAATGTTGCTTAAAATACCGATCTTCTATTAATACTAAACAATACATACTATTGTTATTTAAATTTATTATAAAATAAAAAGATAATAAGTGAATATTTTCGGACTAATCGAACAAACTGCTAGGGAAATCCGTAGAGACATACAATAGAATTGCATTCATTATCAACAAGGAACTTTTTTTTTTAGTTTATTCCATAGTGAAAAGATGTTAATTATAAAATGTCATAGTATATGCGAAGAATGTCAGATATCTAGATCTCAACAACTATTGTCTATCGTACATCGTGACTTATTGAAATGTCATGGGAACAAAAAAAAAAAAAAAAGAAATATAAAAATTCTCGTTATTGAACTTAATATTCATTAACAATCAGGCACTAGAAAATATCTGATAATATAGATATATATAACTAAGATAATTAAATGAAATTTTATTAGTTAGATTACATCTTTTACGCAAGAGAATTCAAATTAAACTATGTTCTGATTTTATTTACATTTCGTTATTATTATTTTTTTTTCTATAGACATTGGTTCTTGGACAGCATTAGTTGAACTTAATCTAGCAACAAATCAATTAACTGTTATTCCAGAAGATATAAAAAATTTACAAAATTTAGAAGTACTTATTATGTCGAATAATCAATTAAAAGTATGTATTAAATATATTCGAGTATTATTCTATGAAATAAACCTGTTTCGTATTCCAATATTGTTTATCCTAAGCCTCTTAAAGTCGATCTATAACATGAATAAAAATATCTTAAAGCATTTGCTAATTATCTAAAAAGCATTTTTATGTATTCTAATATATTTATATATGTTCATGTGAAAAAGCAAGAATTGATTTGTTCCTTTTTCTTTTTATATTAAGATAACATATCTAATAATATGCTAATTAATATAAATGTTTTTATTCTATTATAGAGAATTCCTCCATCATTGGGTCAATTAAGAAAATTACGACATTTAGATCTCGAAGAAAATAAACTTGATTCATTACCTCAGGAAATGGGTAAATGATTAATTATTATCTATAATCTTATATTTATACAACAAAATAAATCTAGGATATTTACGAGAATTAACAAGATTAATTATTGCATCAAATCAATTAACACAATTACCACGTTCAATTGGGTAATTTGTTTTTTTTTTTTATATAAAGTTATTTATATATGTATATATGATCATTTGTTTTTTTCTTATTTATAAAGATCTTTAACAAATCTTACACATTTGAATGTTGGTGAAAATAATTTAACAACATTACCTGAAGATATAGGTCAATTAGAAAAACTTGAACAACTTTATGTAAATGATAATCCAAATTTGGATGTATTACCATATGAATTAGCATTATGTACAAATTTACAAATAATGAGCATTGAAAATTGTCCATTGAGAAGTTTACCACAAGAAATTGTGGCCGGTGGACCATCACTCGTGATACAAGTATGTCAAGAATAAAAAAAAAAAACAAATTTTATATTCATATTAATTATTTATCTTTTTTAGTTTCTCAAAGTACAAGGACCATTCAATTTAAGTTAATACTAGAGATCTTTTAACTTTTTTCATTTGTATTCTAAATCTCTATTAGTCAAATCGGTGTGTTTATTTTTTCTTTTTGAACCGGTAATTTTGTGTGTGTGTGTGTGTTTGTGTCTTTGTTTAACAAAATCGGTAAAGAATTTTTTTTGCGCTAGACATTCAGTTTTCTTTCTTTTGTATATATATATAAGTACGTGTAATCTTTTTTACTCTTAACAACAGAAATTGCACATAGAGTTTTCTGCTTTGAATATACAAAAAAACTATATGCCTTCTTTTGTGTGTGTGTGTGTGTGTGTGTGTGTGTGTGTGTGTGTGTGTGTTTGTTGTTGGTTTGTATTTAGTTAAATCGAATTGAATCTATATTTTTTTTTTCTTTTGTTCTGCTTTGTGGAATTATCAGTCAGACAGAAATTCATTTGTATGTAACGCGATTATATTCTGATATTCCTTTTTTTTTTTGTTTTTTTTTTGATTTCTTTGATGTATTTGATGATTTTATGTGGAATTGTATGGTGTTTCATACCGTCCATGTGAACGGTTGATGAATGAAAGATAGACAATGGAAATTATATGTATGAGATAATAATAATAAAAATATCGAATTCATGATGACTGTAGAATAATTATTTAGATATGGTGGTTGCATTGAAGTTTTTGTTTTCGGAAAGTTGATTTAGGAGATATTACTAAGCAGAAAAACGAAATAGTTTTGAATTAGAGAGATATAGCATACGGATATCTGTCTGAATTTAAGGAAATCTTCATCACTTTCCATGACTGAAAGTTTATGAATTAATCTATAACTATGAAAATCGATAAATCAGAAAATTTTCGATGAAAAAACGTAAGAATCTACAGATTATTTTTCTGTTTTTGAAAATTGAGATTTTTTTGACCAAAAAAATGATGGAGAATCGTCTTTTTTCTGTTTTCAAATATGACGTACTGTTGGCTTCTTCCAGTGTTGACAAAAAAACATGCATTTTTAAGATTTCTCCGAGACACTTGACAGTTTTATTCGAACAGAAGGAGATAAAAAGATTTTAGAAAAATGTAGACAGTGCAAACAATGTCTACTATCTCTAACAGGAAATTGTAATCGTATCAGACATATGTCTGATAAAAGGGAACGTTAGTATTTTGTACTTGTTATCCCCAACATTTCACACTAGGAAACATTCGAGAGCTTTGAGTCTATGACAAATTTCGTTCTCCTCATCGAGATTTATCTGCCATGAAACTTTACAAATTTTCTGATTAGATGTTCTTCAACGAGGCTAGACTGAAGTCTTCATAATTCTAACGTTTATCTGCAAACGTAGACTCAAACGAAACCTAACATGATAGTTTTAATAAGAAGTAAACATTAGGTTCAATTCTTTTTTTGATGAGAATCACATAAGAAACTAAGACAATTCTGATTAAATTTTTTGATTGAAATACAAGAGAAAAATTTGTAACCTACAGAAATAGAAAATTCATATTGACTTCCATTTTTTAATATTAAAGTAGAATGATTCGCTCATATTTTATTCATCAATGCCACAACGATTTGTCTATAATAATTTTCAATAAATATTATAAATATAAATTTTGTATCAGTGCTTAGAATGGATCAGACAAGAACTGCTGGTACATCTTGACTCTTCCTTGAAGCAGAGTTTTTTCAAACTCTTTTCACGAAAAATTCTTTTTCAAAAGATCTTCCTCTTTCGTGACCACTGCATAGTCTACAGTAATATCTATCTACTGGGTACATACTGCGATTTAGAAATTGTCTTTAAACGTTAAGAAATTCGAGAAGAAATCAAATTAACGAAAACTGTACATTGTTTTATGTTTTCTTCAAGTCAACTTTTTCATGAAAAAAAGTGTGGAAACTCCCTGTTTCTTCGGTTTAGTACGCCCGATCAAGCTGAAACTTTTTTCACATACCCTATACACTTGAGAATGGGTATTTTTTTTTTGTTTAAAAAACATTGCTCTGCTAATTTTTGGTGGTTCTTACAAAAAAAAACTCTTTTCTATCTTCGATATTTTTTGCTTTTTTATTCAGAGGACAAAAATTAAAAAGATCCCAACCCTAAACAGAGTCTAGTGCATGTAAAAATCTTTTCAGCACAATCAAACATAGCAACGAGAGCGAAAATTGAAAACATTGTGATCCCAATATCTCATAGAAGACAGCATACGAGATGACATATTACACTTTACTCGTCAAGATCTGTCTATCTTAAAAATCTCCTTGATTTTATTATCTGAAAACCAAACTGAAATTATACAATAACATAACATTAAAATCAATTCGCATGAATAATTCTCCTTGTATGAATCAACATTTTAAAGGTGATATATTAGTAAATGTCAACAGCTAAACAAGCTAGCTAGATTATATCTTTATGATCTTTAGTTAACGTTTGTCATTACTAACATGTGTACATACTTATTCTTAATTTTTTTCTAATAAAAAAAAAAAAACTCCGAACGAACATACAAATGTAAAAATGTTAATAGCTCTTGAATATTCAACAAGTGATAGAAAGCAAGCATAGTAAATCGTTGTCATTTACAAAAAAATTTACTTCGTTTTCTTTTTTTCTCATCCGAAAAAAAAGTCGAATACGATGAATTCGATCATTTATTCATTTGTATCACGATGTCACATATGAATACAAATGTACGATCTTTACGCGATCAGTTTCAACAACAACAACAGCAAACAAATCAATATAGCAATGTAACGCAAAATCGACCTGAACAAAAACATGATATTTTATTTCAATGTATTCATTGTGGTAAACAGCAAACAATATCTCTACTTTTGCAATCGAACTCTACTAGAGGTGTGTGTTTAGATTTTTAAAAAAATGGTTTTAAATAAATAAATAAAAATCAGAAATTTGTGTTCAAGTTCTACGTACAGGCGCATCTAGAAATATGAATCAATGCCCCTGTCCGCAGAATTTATTCACATTTTTTATACATATCAAAGAAAAAAAAACAACTAATTTATATAAATATTTCAAACATGATTTTAGAGATCGTTCAATCACCATTTTCTGCATACAATTCACAAATTTCATTACAAAATATTAAAGAAGAAAATAAGTCTACACCAATATTTCGTCAAATATCAATAATAAGTGAAAAAGAAGATGAAGAAACACCATCACCATTACATCGATCAAATTATGCTTTAGATTTTCGTCATTTAAATAATGAAAATAATCCAAAAAAATCTATTGAACAAAATATTAAAGGTTTTGTTGATGGTTGTGTACGTTCTAGTTTAAATGAAATGACATATGTGAATAGAGTAGGTGATTGTAAGTTTATATTGAAATTTAAATCTTTTTTTTTTTTTTGTTAAATATATTTTATTATATAAATAGCAAAAGATATTGTTGAAGTTGAAGTAGAATATGATCCAATATTAGGTAATGTTAAATCAACAAGAAAACGTTCAAGTACAATAATAACAAATCTTGATAATGATTATCATCCAACTAATTATCGTCATCAATCTGCTCATAATAGAAATAAACCATTATCATCTGATGTAGAACATGATAATACAATACCGATATGGGCAAGACGTCGTGTATCACATTCAACAGTTAAACCGTCAGATCTTGTTCGTGAATCTGATAAAAAAGAAAAATTACAAGCTACTGCACTTCGACGCTTATCACGAACAGGTATTAAATATAAATATAAGTTTTATTTCTTTAATTTTTTTAGAAAAAAATCTATTAATTAGATCTTGCTGGTGATGGTGTCATACCAAATTCTACAACAAGGCCAAAGATTAGGTAAAAACAATATTATTCTTCATGTCCTTCTATTTATATTGTCTGATGAAATAATCATCTGCATGCTATTAGTAGTAATAGTTCTCTATCAGTTCGATCGAAATGTTTATTTACATTCTATCGAAACAAAATATTTGACCTTCGATCGGTCAAATAAGTTAAGATCTTTTGTTGCTATTTTAGCACTAGTCGTATTTTCTTTTACTTATATATTTATACAGAAGATAATTATTCACAAAATAATACATATGATGTCTATTTAAGTTCTCAAAATCCAAGTACGATTAAAGATACAATTTTACGTTGGTGTCAAGATCTTACACAATTTTATAAAGTAAATCATTAATATATTTGTCTATAAATATTTTGCTATATTGATATTAGGGTATTAATATTAAAAATTTTTCTTCATCATGGAGTGATGGTTTAGCATTTTGTGCTATTATTCATCGATATTTTCCTGATGAATTTAATTTCGATACATTAATTGCTGATGAACCTCGTCAAAATTTTGAATTAGCTTTTACTGTTGCTTTGTATGTCATTTGATCTGTGTTTTTTTTTTCTTCCTATCATTTGTATTTTTTCTTTAGAGAACGTGCTGGTATAGAACCATTAATTGATATAGATGATATGATACTTATGGGTGCTAAACCAGATTGGAAGGTTGTTTTTACTTATGTTCAAAGTTTATATCGTCATTTATCACGTATACAACCACCAGCAATATTACGTGAACGTTGGTGAACAGAATATTTTCTTACGTAAAAATCGCTTATTTTAATATATTCGAAATACATTGAACTACAATTATTTGCTCATGCCTTATTAGTTCAATAAGACGTTTTTTTCTTTTATTCTTTTTTATTTTTTATTTTTTATTTTAATAAAATTATGACATAATCGACTATGATTTTATTCTATATTTACACTAAAAATTAATTGTAGGATGTTGATATTAATTACATTATAATATTAACTATAGAATGTCAATTAATTATTCAAAGAAAACTAATCTTTAATTTTCATAATTGTATCTTCTATTATTTATACACTTACATAAGAGATTATTGATAAATAAAAGCTGAACTCAATGTGACGTAAAAAAAACAGAGCAAAAAAAAACCCAAAAATCTTCACTTTCTTGTTATCGTATATTATATTAGAATGTAAACGAGTTACGGA